AACTTCATACAGGGAAGAGGCAGTGTGAGCACAGATGGAGGTGAAAGATACAATAGACTACTAGTAATGTCTCCAAAGAGGATGGGGACCTGGACATAAACACGCGCGCGCGCGCGCGCACACACACACACACACACTCTGCAGGCTGATTCTTGAGAATCTCTAGTCTGCTTGGGTCTGCTTGGTGTCTCCCTACCTCGCCAATCCATCTTTAGCCTTCTTTCTAGGTTAGAACCAGAGATCTTAATAGTAAAGTTTTGCTAATGTGGGCAGTCAAAACTTGAGGCTGAAAGTAAGAGGTGAAAAGATGTACAGCTGGAGAAAGAGGAAGGTAAAAGGGAATCCCTTCCTATGATCTGTCTGCAGAAGTCAAGAAAGAAATGAACTCAAAGGCAGTGGGTACCTATTATTTCCCTGATTGTCCAAACTATGGTGAAAAGACAAATAAGGACCATAAGCTCATGAGAGAAAAGAGGGAAGATGTCTGAGTGGACTCCAATGGTTCATTTTTTTAGTTTCATTTCAGTAGAGTCCTATGAAGTCTGTGTCAGGCATTTTCCCTGTGAAAATTAAACTGCTGGCCATGTTGGAAGTAGCAGATCTTAACACTGGTAGGGACTTTAGAATTGTGCTTATGGCTAGAAGACTGTCTATATATATCTCTGATATATGAGACTGGGCAGGCTGCCCTGTGGCTATGGTCCCTGTTTTCTCACTGAAAAACAGGTTCACTAGTTTCTCCCATGTATTATATGTGAAGATTTACAAAGCATTGCATATAAAGTGTTTGGCATGTAACTCTGGAGTCAAGGCCTCAATAAATGTTTACTGTTATTACTAATGCTATGTAATGAAGATGACTTTAGTTGCTAAGGGGAAAACAAACCTGAAGCCAGAGACCCTGAGGTAGGAAGCACTATAAACCAGACACAAGTGAGACCTTGCAATAAGATGGAGACTACTAAAGTGGAAGTGAAACACAGCTCAAAGATCTTCTTGAATTATCACTCTCCTTCAATTTTTTTTTTTTTTTTTTTTGTCCTGGGGATCAAACTCACAACCTTGTGTTTGCCAGGCAGGTGCTATGGTCCACAGATCATTCCTTCGTGTTTTAGGAACCTGGGTGAAAATTTTAAGGAGAAATGGGTAAATAGTAAATAATATACTCAGATACTGATAAGTTCAATAATGAAAAATGAGTTAAAGGAAGCAAGAGTGTGAGATTTGGGTGTGGAATGATACTCACCAGCAACCAGAGGACCTGGACAGAAGACTAGCCCTGAGAGGGAGAGCAAGCTTAGCTTGTTATACAAATAACAGAGGCCAGGATGGCTTAGCAGGGGACAGGGGCAGGGTAAGGGTGCAGACAATCAGCTGGTGATAGTCATTAGGAAAATGGGCACAGGGAAGTCAAGAAAGTCAAACATTTTTTCTGGGCTTCAAGAGTATCTGGCAGAACAGGTACCTATTCTTTCCCTTTGGAACTTTCTGCACAACTAAGATCAGAGGCAGTAAATGGTGAGACAGGTTAGAGATTTATATACAAGCAAGAGACAATCTTTTCTCTGGTGACAGACAGTGCAGACCTAGGCACTCAGAAATCAGAAAAATGAAGAGGGGTTTAAAGGTTTCCTTCCTCACTGCAATCATTGCCAGCTGGAAAATCTTAATCACGCCTAAGAAAAGTCAGAACCTGAGAACATTCTGAAGATGACAAGGGTGCTCCTAACTCAACACAGATGAAATGTTTCTCCACTTATCAATTTTTAAGAAGTTGGAGCTTTCTTATGTTTTACTCTTGCAAGCCTGAGTCGTACAGGTAGGGTGGCAGGAAGCATTTCTATAAAGACCTAGCTGGACAGAAGGTGCAGAGGGGCAAGACAAGGGACACAGTTAGCAGGGTGGGTTGAAGCCCTGACTGGTGAGGTTGGCCTCAGGAGTGTTTTCTGGCAGACTCCACAGACAGGTTTGGTTTTTAAAAGTGCCAGAAAGCCACAGATTTGCATGTTATTTGTGTTCTGGGCTTCACTTTTAGGTATGTGGAATGAAATAAATGAATGAACAGTATTCAGACTCCTGGTTAAGGGGTGGACTCAGAAATCCAGGCTACACTCAGGACCCAATCACTGCCCTAGGTTGGATCAGGAGACACTGACAGAGCAAACAGTGACAGAGACAGAGAGACAAACACCAGATACTCTTTACCAGGGAGTTCCCAGTTAAAGCAAGGAAGCAAGATCCAAAGATTTTAAATGAAACATTTTTTAAAACCAGGGAAAGTCACACATAGGCAGATAAAAGCAGCTTCATCTGTAACTCAGTGCCACCTCTGCTCCCACATCCTCTACTTCTGGCTTCCTTTAGAACCAGGTGCCTGAGTCTGCTTCTTAATAAGGTAACTGCCTGGTATCTGCTTACGCTCACAAGTCAGGAAAACTGTGAGCACCACAGAATGTAAGATGCTGAGCGCAAGATCAACAGGCGAATACTGAATATAACGTGGCTTTCATTTTCTTGGTTAAACCATCTTTACATTGCATGCTTTGGAATCCCCAAGCTCAGTGCTGAAACACATGCTATAAAAACACCCAGGAGGTTTCCAATCAGTTTCAGGTAAGGCAAGTCTGTTTTCTTTCCTTGCACTGGGACTTGAACCCAGGGCCTTTACTCTAAGCTACATTCCTGACCCTTTAAAAAATGTTTTAATTTTGCGACAGAATCTCCTTAACTTGCTAAGTTTTTCAAGCTGGGTTCAAATTTGCGATCCTCTTGCCTCAATCTCCCAGAGTGTTGGGATTATGTGTGCACACCCCACACACAGCTAAAGCAAGTGCTTTCAAAAGGCAAGACAGAAAGGAACCTAGAGTCTCAATCTGTCATGCAAAATATCACTGCAATAAAAAGGACAGAGAGGAAAAAATTAAGAGAAAGATGTTAAAGCCTGTTAGGAGAAAGCCTGAGCCCCAAAAGGCATGCTATCCAACTGAGGAAGGTCAAGGACAGAGTGAGGCACTGGGGTGATGAACTGTTGGGGACCACAAGTTGTCATCTAAGTCAACATTTAATAGAGTGACCCCCACTTCCTCCCTGGCAGGCCAGCAAGCAGACAGCTTGTACTCCTGGTTTGAAGAAAGTAAAAGCACCAGATCACCCACCTACCTTTGGATATTGCATGGCTCAGTCCATTCCTAAATGGAATGGATGCCAGTATATCATTTCCTGATTATAAGGGATGTTGATTGTACAGATAAGAGATTTTATGACTAGGAATGCTTCAAAAAGAAGGAATTTAGGTTTGTGTGCTTAGCAGCTATTTGTGAAAGGAAAACAAAAAACCCCAAAAACCCCACATTGATTAAGGAATGCCAGCAGCATGGACTCAAGTGTTTATGGGCCATTTTCCTATACTTTTTCCTAGCACTCGTGTCCTGTCAAGGCCAAGGTGACCTTCAGAAGTCCAGTAACTGACAAATACTTTTCATTTTTGAAGGGAGAAGCCTGCAGTTTGGATCTGCTGCATTTAGTCTGACATAGGTATTAGGTAAAACCAAGCCAGTGTTAACACTGGCCTCATATTTTAACATTGACCTTTACTATGACAGGTTTCTATGCCCACCAGTATTACAGTTCTTAATTCCACCCCAGAATCTTATTTTGACAAGATCCTGGGCATCTGGTACAACCACTCACACAAATGAATTATCTTTATCTCCCTGACAGGCCAGACAGGCAGCTTACACTACTCAAGGTGCATATTTGAGCTCAGTCTCCTGGTTTCTTCTTTTCTGCCACAGTGTTGCAAGTCTAAGCTCTCCCTTATGTTAGTGGGTGACATTTCCTTTTCCATTTCCACAGCTAGGAAAGGCAATTGTGTTCTTCATAGACAGTTGTTAGGGTTCAGCACAGAAAAAAATTAAGTTAAGATGTTGAGCTGGGCCTCACATTTCCCACCAAGTTTTGGAATGAATTTGATGCTGTGGACACACTGTTCCTGGGCAGGGAAATATGGCATCCAAGAACTCAGCATCTAAGTTCACAAGGACTGAGAGTGTAAGGCTCCTTTTCTGAGTTGCTTGGTATGTAATCTTCCAGAGAGAAAGCATCTTGCTCTATCTTGCCTTTATCTATTCAGAAGCAAGGGAAGATAAACCCCAAGTCAAGACCTATTTTCAGAGCTCATCAGATGGCAGAGACCAGAGGCTGACATTAGAAACACTGGGGGTCTTCAATGAACCCTCTCCCGCTCTACCAAGTACTCTGCAAAACGAAGTTAGTGGAAATGTTTTTCTAGTTACCTGTTTCTACCTCACAACCCCCAACACTTGCAGCTAACAGTGATGGGGCTGGTGGTAGAAGACGCATTTGATTGCAGTGTTCAAGAAAAGAGAAGTTGCTACCACTTACAAGTATGAAGATCCCTGTACACAGAGAAATAGGGTGACATTGTATCTCTAGGCTGGGAGAGGAAAGTACTCTTCCACTCAGCTCTACATAGGATTTCTGAGAGCAACAGTCGTAGGGGAAGAATGGGATAAAACTAGCTTCTGTGCCTCAGATGTTCTCTAATGGTCAGGAAAAGTTTCTCTGTGCAGTGTCCAGGAATGATTGCTGCAAATGATTTCTGGTGTCGGTTCTGATTCAGTGTCTAGTGCTTATGATCATTCAAACACTCCTTTTTTAAGGGAGGTAGGTAATTATACACACTGAGCATGGTGGTGACAGGAAGAAAGGAGAAAGGAAAGCAACAGGCTTAGTGTAAAGCAGATTAAACAATATATTAATAATATGCCTAGCCCATGAGAACAGAAACATCTTTTTTAGTTCTGGTCATCAAAGTTCATCCCTCTAGTCTTACCTTTGCGGAACAGCTCTCTGAAGAGAATGGCCCACTATGTAAGTATGTACTTGGTTCCCATTAAGACACTATAAGCCACAGCTTCACTGTGTTCTTTCTATTTCTACAACAAAACTGAATTGGAGAAACAGGGGCCAAGTTCAGATAGGCTCAACAATTCCTTATATATTTTGCAAAGTGTTTTTGTTGTATGCTTCATTTTCTGTTACACATGGCAATAAATATTTGTTGCTTTGGTCTGTACAAAAAGCTTCTGAGGATGGTAAGACATGTTACCTAAATGAACAAACAATAAATAAATACAGAGAACTATCTTGTTATAAGCCCCCAGACAACAGTAAGAGAGCCTGGAAAATTCAAGTCTTTTGATTCATAGTCCAAATCTGTACCATATTGCCACCTTTTAAGTTGTCATTTAAATGCAGTAAGTCCCAAGAATCAGACAATATTCCAGGAGTCCTACAGTAAGTCTACATGCCATAGCTTTCTAAAAGAGAATGTGAAAAGTCACAGCAACTCATATATAGAAAGCTATTTATTTCCTATAGGAGAAGGAGAAGGGAAGGAGGAGGGGAAGAGCAAGAGAGAGAGACAGTGAGACAGAACAAGAGCAAGAGTCCGAGAGCAAGAGTGAGAGAGAAAGGTGAGAGGAAGAGGGGAAGGGAAGGAAGGGAAGAAAGCGAACACACGAAGGTCATCTTCCCCCAAAGGGCAGGCAATTATGAAAAAGGTAGGACTACTGGTTGCTGGAGTGGAAACAGTAACATTCAGTTAACAATGGAATATTTAAAAAAAATAGTTTTCTTTTTCAAATTGTAACTTGTGGTAAAACATAGAAAAATGTACTAAACAAGCTTGTTATAAAACAGAGTAAAATTTTCAAATAAGCCCAGGGAGAAAGCACAATGCTGGAAAGGATGGGTACGAGGGTAGGACAGAAAATATTTTATACAAAACTACCTATTACAATACAGAAAAAAGTATAAAATGTTCCTATTTGGAACTTTAGTACAAAATGACACTGGCATTGGATCACTTCAACTATCTAAGCCGTAGGAGCTCTCAAAGGGTAGGGGAGACGCTAGAAAGAACAAAAGGAATAGCAATTTTTAAATCTCAAGTTGATCAGTTCAAACTCCACCCGTTTTTCACTTGAAAATCTTATCCCATCAGTAACATCTACCCCTAAGCCAAAGTTGATCCAGGCCTCAAAATATTCTGTTAAAAGTCCACAAACACCCTACACATAAGGGCTGGGAGCTCTGTGTGCTAGAATCTGGAAAATGAAAATAAATCTACAGGCTAAATGGTGAACACATTCAGTCTTTTTAAAAAAATCATATCCCTGTGATGAATATATTTATATATATATATATTCATTCATTCTGTGGTTAGAAACATTTAAACTAGCCACAGACCAACCGGACCTGGATTCATCCAACACTGGAATTTTATGCTAAAGACTGAAGTCCTTCTTCTTCTTGGTTCAGAAGCAGGCAACCTTTTGCTGCTCCACTGAACCTTCCCTGGGTGGGTCTTCCCTGTAGCAAGTGCGGTTAGCACATGCAAACCTCTGCTCTTAAGAATTGCCTGGGACTTTGGAGTCTGTCTGGGGCTCATGTGTTGTGCCTCAGGATGTAATGGAACAGATTATACAGTCTTGTAGAGAAGCAGTTAGGTTTCACATATGGGGCATATAAATAGGAAGGGTCCTCAAGGCAGGGACTTATGCATGTGCCTCAAAGTCCACTTTATAGTCACTTTCCTGACTACCCATCTCAAAAATCATGTATGCATGTGTTCATGTATATGCTGGTGGTTTTGATCCCTACCTCTTGACCATGCCCTTTTCTACTTCTTAATAAGGCCTAGCAACAACAATTTATAAGAAACCAAGATTCTTTCCAAGCTTTTCTCAGTTTCCCAATTAGGGACTGAGTGAGGCTGGAGCCCTTTAAAAACAAGATGGCAGAACTGAAGTGAAAAGCAGTCTCTCTTCAGCTTAGGGATGCCCCTCACCCCTTTCACAGCACCAAAGTTTCTTTGCAAAAATAGTATCTGAGATACAAAAGGAAAGGCAGATGTGCTTGTGAATGCATCTTGCCAGGGCCTGGTCCAGGATCAAGGGCTACACAAGAACAGAGGGTTGAGAGCAGCTGTTTTCAAGGTCTCTGGCTGTAGACAACAAAGGGCTGGTCCCCCACAGGGTCAGTGTCTGCTTGTTGAGACAGTCCTCACAAGAGCTTTCGGTGGAGGATCTCCCAGACCATTCGCTTCCGGAAGTATGGCATGTGTTGCTGTAGGGACACAAAGATACTCTTAATTTTCATTTATCTAGACTCCATGTGCCTTTCCCCATTCTCTTCTTGTTAAGATTTTCAACTAACAGTCTTAGTGACATTTCTAGTCTTTCACATTGTTCTCGATCACATGTGGCATTTTCTTCCCACTGCTTTTTTTCTACTGTTATTCCTATTGCTATTTTCTATTGCGGTAGCCTTGTAGCTTATAATGGGAATGATCATGGCCATGACCAGGCCATAACCAAATTCTCTTAAGAACTTTGAAAATGGTATTTTTACCATCAAATGGATCAGCTGCAACTCATTTTGATCTCTGAAGGACGAAGTGTACAGAAATGACCAATCATAAACTAAGAGAAGACTGACCAGCTGCATAAAGTAAGGGGGACAACAGCTTAATACACTCAACATACCTTAGCACATCAAGGTATGGCCTATTCTAAAACTTGAATCCAGGAAAACAGAAAGACTTGTCTAGGTTTCAGTTGCATTTCCTACAGGAGAGTGGTGGCAATCCTATGGCACGTGTGCCACACCACGCACACAAGGCCCTCTCTGTCACATGCAAGCCAAGTTGCCTTAGCAGCTTAGCATCAGATATTCAGGTTTAATTACAGCCTTGACACCTTGTGATAAACAACACCTGGGTTGCAGTTTGGATACTTGGCCTCTAACAGTTTTGCCATCACTGCTATAGGATTTGGGCTTAGAAATATTCCTCATCACTTTCATACTACCGAAGTTTCTTTGCAAAAATAGTAACTTAAAAACACTAGTTGATTTTAAAACAACTACTAGCCTAATTGTTTTGAGGTAGGTGGGGCAGATGAGCAGAAAATAAGGCTGCTTTTTGTGGTAATGGAGATCGAACTCAATGTTTTGCACATAGCAGACGAGTGATCTGTTACTGAGCTCTATCCCTAGCCCTCTCTTTTTATGTTCTATTTTAAGACACAGTCTTAATAAATTGCCCAAACTAGTCTTAAACTTGCAATCCTTTTGCCTCAGCAACCAGAATAATGGGTTAATGTGTACAGACTACCATGGTCAGCTAAGGTTCTTCCTTTAACCAGGATTTCTTAGCTATCATATGTGACGTAAGGTTGTGGCCTATCTTTCTTTCTTTCTGATATGTTACCAGTGTATGAATCACAGCCCAAAGCACAGGCAAGATTAGGAAGCAGGTACAGATAAGATTGGCAATGATGTTTTGTAAACAGTTTATGTCATCTTATTCTTGGAAGATTTATTTATTTTTTTTGTCTTTTTCCTTTTTATCGGTACCGGGGATCGAACTCACAACTGCCTGCTTGCAAGGCAGGAGCTTATTCTGCTGAGCTAAATCCCCAGCCCCTTCTTGGAAGATTTAAAAGGCTCTTTTTTCTTTTGATTATTTTTTTCTGAGACAGGGTTTCATTATGCAGTTCAGGCTGGCCTTAAACTCAGAGTGATTCTCCTACCTCAGCCTCCTGAGTGCTGGGATTATAGGCGTGCACCACCACACCTGGCTCTGTCTTCCTTCAAGGCTAATTTATTAATTGCTTCTGTACCTTGCTTGTCCCCTCCACATCACCTTTCCAAAGACCAAATTCCTCGGCCAAATAAATAAAACTAGAACCTTTCCTTTGTTCTAACACCCAGCACTTTGGACACGAGTTCAGCTCGGTCAATGTGCATCTAAAATCTTGGAAGTAAATCCACCTTTTCCCCATTGGAGTCTGATCTTTTGGATTCTGCGACATTTCTGGAGACCATGAAGGGACAGAGACAATGCATTTGCTGTCTCCTTTTCCTTCGGGCCAGAGAGGGTCCGAGCTGTAGGAATCCTGAGACCTCTGGTACCACTGGGTGAAACTTCAGGTAGGAAAGGGTATCAGGCCCCCTACAGCCCAGAGACCTCTCTCCTGTCAGCATAAATGGAATCTGAGGGGATTTAGGGTGATTCTGGAACAACAGTATGCTATAGCACTGTGGTAAAGTTTTAGTCACCCAAGTGGGAAAACCCATCCCATCAGGAAAGAAGGGGAGCCTAATAACCTTCCAAGGGAAGATGTACCTAGTCATTTGACATGGACATATGTCAAATGAAACCTACCACCCTAAATGGTATACAGGGCCTGCACTGTGAGAAACTGCTAACAACCTGCTGGTTAGGTCTGCACCAAGAGCGGCTCACTCTCAGACAACTCACAGAATAGATCCACACCGAGTGCTAAGGAGAATGTGGTCATGGTGAGAAAGGTTCACAGAGAATGCCAAAACTGTGGAGTGCCCTGCAATGGGAGAGCTAGAAAATCCAACACTGGGATAAAAACTGGGGGAAAATGTGTATAAACGCGTGTATGGGAGCAAAATAAAATATATGAATCTAAGGTCAGCTGGGCTCAACTGGGGACTAATTGGTCTAGAAACAAAAGCAATTGCAAGGACATGAAAAAGCTGATTAACTTTAGTGTACCAAGTTATATAAGTGGGGTGCTACAGATACAGGCTGATAGATTAAAAAAAAAAAAAAAAGGAAGCAACTTGTGAAACAGCATGTGTTGGTGACTGAGACTAAAAAATGTCCGAGTGGCTAAGTGGGATGGTGGAACATGGCCTACAGATGTAGGTCCAACTGGGCCTTCTGAGATTGGAGGAGCAAAACAGGGATCATTTCATTTCACAATGAGCATGGAGTGGAGACACAGCCCAAGGTCTCCTCCCAGCATCAGGAGCTCCAGGATCAGCTCTTACTTAGTGTTATCAGCCTGGTGATGCCTGAAGGTATATGAAAGCTCAAGTAGCTCTAGCTGGGGCAGAATGGCCAAAGTCCTGTTGGGCCCAAGGACGGATCAGAGGAGAAATCAAAGTACAAATTTTAACTAACTGGTAAATGTACTTCTTGTTTCCAGTTTGAGTTGATATATGTAGAACACTTCTTGTACATTATAAATTCTTGAATTTACAAGGTTAACCTGTGCTTCTCTCTATTCTCTGTTGGTTTAAGATAAGAACCCTGATTCAAGGTTAACTTAGAAGTCTGTTGGCAATCAGTCAAATTTATAAAATAGCAATCTAAAAAAAAGATCAAGCAGCTACAGTGAAGTTTGTTATAAAAGATTTATAGCAAATGAGAAAAAATATTAAGGAGACTATAAATATAAAAGAAATACTTTTGATATGACAGGATTTTGTATGATGAAATTTTTGTCCTGCTAAAGAGGTAAAAAGAGAGATAATGACAAGAATGGAAAGTTTACATACATGGAGGGAAAGCTTATTTATAAAACATGTATGGTTTGGTGAAGCTCAAGTTGTTCCTTCTAAAAATTCCTGTGAGGGAAATGATCAAAATGGCATAAAAAAATGCTTAAAAAAGTAATCTGCATCACACCAGGGTAGATATGGGAGGAAAAGCTTCAAAACCAATCCCACTAAAATCTATGTTGGCTAACTTTAAGAAAGTATACAGAAAACTATGAAATAAAGGTGACTCCCTGTCCCCGAGGTAAATAGCTCTTTATAAAGCAGATTGATATTCCTTTCGACAGTAAATGGCTGGTGACAGGATGGGTAGGTGATTGACAAACATTGGGTACATACTGGATGGTGACTGAAAACAGAGGGCTACTAGGACATCAGGATCACTTTCCCTACACTATTCCAATTTTAGTATATGTGCTACCAAAGCAAGCATAGTTTTTCTACATTGACTCATGGATAAATATAGTTCAGATTGGACCCCCATGGCTTCAGCTTTGTCTAGGTGCCTATTAACAAAAACTAAAGGGTTTTGCTAGCAGGAATGTGACCCAGTTTTCAGAGGTCACTACCAAAGTGTATGTAAATCGTGACCAGAAGGTCAAATAAACAGTCCATAAGAGACTCAAAAAGAAAAATCTGTTGACAATAATGCTCACAAAAGAAACAGAAATCACTAAGAGGTAAAGACAAAGACACTGGCAAAATAGAAGTCGAACTGAGCCAGGATCTGCCAGTTGACCAAAACTAGATTGGGATTGATATACATGATGTAAAAATACGAATAAGAAAAATAAATGCCCAAGAATGATAACAATGCCAAAACTAGAAGGCTGTCTACAAAAGGCTACCCTTCCTCATAAAAAACCCCAGATGTTAGGCTTACTGGGCTGACAGGAACTAAAGGTTACCAGGACTAGGTTTCATTCCCCTCGACACCCAAAAGCCCACTGATGTACTTTCTGGTAGACAGCAGAGATGAATACTTAATAACACAGCTCACTGGATCATTATCTATCATGTGACTACTGTTAGAGCCATTAGAGTCCCCAAAAGAGGTCATTTTTCCAGTCTGAGAGGTATATCATAAAAATAAGAGGTTCAACGTAAGTTCCTACATCTTCCAACTGTCTGGTTCCCTGCTGAAAAGGGACCTCCTCCAAAAGAGGACAAAATTACCTTTGGGTCACAAGAATTAAAAAAAAAAGTCAACACAACACAAGACTGACACCGAAGAGCAGCTCACCCAACTGTGCAAGACCTCAGAGTGAGCTCAAGTAACATAAGGGGCCAATGGAGAACACACTGATGCAAACCAATGGAGGTGGAAAAAAAAAAAAGATCCTTGCGTTGAAGGTTAGCTTTGAAAAGGCTACTGTTGATAAGACAGTGCCAAAACTGGAGCTGAGACATATCTATAGCAATGCTGAGAACACACTGCAACAAAAAACAGACAAAACTGGGTGCAACTTGGCAGCAACAGGTGGCAGCAGAGAAAAAACAACGGCATTGCAAGGCTGCACTGGAGGAAGTCAAACAATTCAAAGCCAAGGTAGAAGAGGCCCAGTACCTGTGGGAGCAAACAGAACAAGTGCAGACTCAACAGCTACAGCTGGCGCGGGAGCCTGCCCAGAAAAAACTACAGACAAAGGAGAAAACACATGAGTATGCTATAACGATTAAGGAACGAGAGACAGACAACTCGGCGAGTGATTAAAGAGGCTAAGGAAGATCCAAATCATGCCAAATATAAGGCAACACAGTCTTGCTGGCAAATGAACAAAAAAGAGTGACTAAAACAGTTGACAGAGGTACATGCCCAAAACAAGGTATAAATGGAACTAAAAGCACAAAAGCTACAATGGTACACAGGAGGAGATAACACACTGGGAAAGAAGTAACAGTTGCCACGCAAAAACAGTATTTAGAAAGAGCTACAACATTTGCGCAGTTGCAGTTTAGAGGCAAAGATCCAAGCCAAGACCCCACAGACGGAGATAACCAAACTGCACATCAAAAAAGAGATCCACGTGGTACGCCTATGGCTGGAGATAACTGAATGTCGGCATGGCAGGGCTAAGGATGAAGAGGCTCTATGTACATGAACAGAAGAAACAAAACCCCAGGAGTGACAAGTCACAAGAGGTGACTAAGCACTTGCAGAGACAAATGCCAAGGAGAGCCAACATGAGTGTCAAGCAGAGGTAAAACAGATCCTGAGCAAGAAAGCAAAAGATGAGACAACTGAAAAAAAAGACCCCCTCCAACACCAAAAGGCTCTACAGTTACTGCAGAAACTACCACTGCAAGCTAAGGAGACATAAGGCAACTGTGGCAGACAGAGACAGGGCAAACTCAGCAAGTAAGGGAACCCTAGAGACAACTCAAAGAAACACAAGACAAAGCTATAAAGCAAAAGTTCCTCCTTTGCAAAAAGGAGTTAAATCACACGCTATAGGAACAATATGTAACAATGGCCCAGCTGAGGAAGAAAAAAAAAGACCTATCAACAGACAAAAGCTAAACATGCTCGTGGGAAAACTGCACTGGAACTACAGTGCTGACAACCAAAGGCCAAAGAGACACTGAGGCTACGGCTGCAAATAGAAAAGATAACATGACAAAAGAGCCTGACACAGGTCAAAGCCACAAAGAAAAAATGGAGACTATATTCAGATACGCCACCAAGGTGGGAGAAAGGAGCCCTCCTTCAGAAAGCTGACAAGGAACAAACATTTAAACATCAAAGAGGTCTCAGTCTTAGGACTGCCAGATATAATCTTTTTTCCTTTTGTCCCCATAAAGAAGTAAACAAACAAACGGTTGTAGGAATCTTAACCCAGGTCATTGTCCACAAATGTACTTGTCAAAACTCAGTCTGCAGTCTAGGATAGCCTCCATGTTTTAGCATGCTTGCTGCTGCTGCCTTGCTGACACAGAAATCTTACAAGCTGAATAACTTGGGACAGCAACTGACCATTCAAGTACTACCCTCGGTTATAACCTTAATGAACTAGAGAAGACAACAAGGATTGTCAGACCTGAGGATGGTTCAGTGGAAGGGGCTCTTATGTGAAAATCCTTGTATAACTTTTGAGACAATAAACACTCTTAACTCAACCACTTTGTTCCTAGGCAAACCATTAGCCCCTTTTTATGACTGCATTCTTCTGCTAAAACAGGTCCACCAAACAGGACATGCAATGGTGACTCAACTCTGCTATGGTAGAGGCCCAGTCTTTGCCTATTAGAACTTCAGCCCAGAAAACAGAACTAATAGCCTTGACAAGGGCTCTTTTGTTGGTAAAGAACAAAAAGGTTAACATCTATATTGACTTCAAATATAAAAAAAAAGGGCTCCTGACAGTTGTGGAAAAGAGATCTAATACTAAAAAAATTTTATAGATCCTACATGCTATATGGGTCATAAGGAAAGTGGCCATTATACACTATAGGAGGGAACAGAGGACTGGACCAATAAAAGCGAGAGGAAATCAAAAACATATAGGGTGCTATGACAGTTCCACAAAGAGGGGCTCCAGCTCAGCCCCTCATCCTGGAGCTGCCCCTCCCAGAAACCATCAATTACTCTCCAAATAAAAAAACTGGTTGGGTGAGAAGCCAAAAACTACAGCAAGAGGGGAGAACAGAAGTTTGCTCATGGGAGGCTAGCCATCGCCAAAGTGCTGGACCCTGGGTTCATAAAACAATTCCATAGAGTTTCTCACATGGGAAAAAAATACCATTAAAAACATTACTAGACCACCGTTTCTATGTGCCATAACTTACTAAAATTGCTTGGGCTGCTTATAAACAATGCTTAACCTGCATACAAAACCTAAGGCAAAGGCTTACCCATGCTCCATGTGAAAACTTGCTTATGAATTTTACTAAATACTTCAAGCCGGTGGCTATCGATATATGTTAGTACTTTACAGTACCTTCTTAAGACTCCAGAACTAAGAAGACATCAGAGATGACCTAGGTGCTGTTAAAAGACTTCATCTCAAGATCTGGATGACCCCTGACCTTAAGGTCAGACAACGGACCGACACTTATAGCAGATGGTCCAGGAGCTCACACAAATAAAAATAAAAGTTTCACATAGCTTACCAGGCACAGAGCACAAAAAAATGGAACACATGAATCTGATACTGAAAAAATTGCTGAAAAAAATATTGCCAAGAAACCCGCTTGAGATGGGGCCAAGTCCTGCCAATGATCCTCCTCCATGTTGGATGCACTCCCACAAAAACAAACTAGGTACTCCCCTTATAAAATTCTATTTGGCTGGCTGCCCACAAACATAGGTCAAATTCAAGACAATCTCTGTGATCTAGGAAAACTGTCTCGGAGGAGACAAATACATGCTTTCACAATAGCCATACTGAATATTCATGGTTGCACAGAGGCAAAATGCCCATAAGCCCAACAGACCCACTACACCCATTTAAACCTAGGGACTTTGTTACCAAAAAAAAAAAAAAAAAAAAAGACAACTCTGGGACTCATGGGACGTGGGCCTCATACTGTAATCTTGTTTACCCCTATTGCTGTTAAAGTTACAGAAACTGTGCTTTAGATTCACCATAGTTGGCAGAAGCCAATCACCCAAGACAGGTGGATCAGCAAGCAGGATCCGATCAGTCCACCTGAATCAGCTGATCCTGTCAAAAGATCAGGCTGCCATCGGAGACAAAAGCCCTGCTCTGGTCACTTCAAAAGCTGACCAGTCTACGTAGAGCTGAAGCTTGATCGACATCAGGATACAATGACAACATAAGTCTCCTTTCCTTTCTGTTATAATTCTCCCTCTGCCCAATAGGAAGCCAACCCTCTATAACAATGTAAATGTTAATGATAGTGATACTCTCTCTTAAAACTTACTATAGGATGTATCAAAGTGGGAAATGAAGCAAGACTTAAAAGAGAAAGCCCCCTTAAACTGTCCCCTCTCCTCTATAGCTACAACTCCTTGTTCTTGTACAGATAAGATTGGCAACCATGTCCTGTGAACAGTTTGTCATCTTTTCTTCCAGGATTCATAAAGCTCTATGTTCTTGCAAGGCTAAGTTATTAAGTGCTTTGTCTTGCTTCTGTACCCTTGCTTGTCCCCCTCCTCAGTTTCTAAAGGCCAATCTCCTCAGCCAAATGAATAAAACTAGAACCTTTCCTTTATTTTAATGCCCAGCACTTTGGGCACGAGTTCAACTGGGTCAATTGTGCACCTATAATCCTGGAAATAAATCCTCCCTTTCCCCCACTGGTCTTCTGATCTCTTGGATTCTGCAATAGTCAAGCAGAGTTCCCAGAAGAGAACAGACAAAAAGTCCATGAGCAACCTGGACACAGGGTGGTCCTAGAGCTCCCTCCTGAAGCTCACCTGTGTGAAGTTGATTGGTCTGTCTTTGGTAATACAGTCAGCATATTTACAGGCAAACATCCCACAGTCACTTCCATTCATCTGTTGTGGAATTTCCTGAAAGAACAAAACAATATGGTGCTATCTTTACAAGCTTCTTTCCTTCTCAGATTAAAAAATGAGAGCCAAAGCTCAAAAATTTTACATATTTCCCTGAACTCTGAACAAATGACACTACTCTGTACCAAACTCAGAACAGAAGCTCAAAGTAAAAATACAGCATTTCAGTCAGGTCTATCTATTTAATATAAATCATTAAGGAGAATATCTCAAACTTCTATGCATCTCAGGATATAAAAGCTGGCCCTGTACCCATGGGCCAAATGATCAACAAATGTTTCCTATATGAATGAAAAATGGTTTTCCTTTTAGAAAACTTATTTCTCCATTATAAATATTCCCAGAAAGAAACCTACTTTCCCCAAGGAATCGAACAATCAAGCTGACACTAATAAAGTCTCTAGCAACCAAGCAATACAGCCTTTTCTCCCCCAAAGAGCCTACTTCTAGGACCTCTACTGCAACAAGATGAAATATACCTGGCTTTTCTTGCTGAAGAGCTGCCAACCATTGGTGTCAAACTCTTTCCTTTTCTTGTCAATGCTTTCTTGCTTCAAGTATTGCCTAAAGGTAGTGGAGGAGAATGAGATAAGCTGTGGGGAACTCTGATGACAACTGCTTCCCTAAGAAGGAGCTGGCAATCCCAGGAAAAGTTTCCTCTGTTCCTCTGAGGGGAACAGTATACATAATGCTGAGCAAGGAGTCCCTCAACTCCTAAGCTTCTACTGGAGCTTAGCCTGTCTTTAGAATTCTCACAATTAATTCTTTCAGTCTGAAAGGGACATGACATCTGCCTCTGATACGCTCCATCAACCTACTATACTCCAAGGAACTTTTTTTTTTCTATACTAGAGATTATACCCAGGGTTTCCTACATGTTTCCCAAGTACTCTACCATTATCTCACACCCCAGGCCCTTTTGAGACAGGGTCTTGCTAAGTTTCCCAAGCTGGCCACAGACCTGTTATCTCCTGCCTCAGCCTTCTGAGTACCTCAAATTATAGGGATGTGCCATGTTGCCTGAAGAATCATTTTTGATTCTTCTCATTGGTTTATATACTCCTTTAGAAATACAACTGAGGGCCAGGCAGGGACAGGAAGGAGCCCACCAAGAAGTCAACTATCTAGCTTTTCTGGCAAGCCGTGTAAGCCATACAGGGCCCAGGAAGAGAGAAGTCAGACAGCGTCTCCTGTGAGCCCATCGACACATGGGCTGGGAATCAAGCATTCCCCTGTCACAAGCAACTGGTTGGCTTGAGGAACAGGAAGAATTGATGGCAACTGAGGCACAAAAAGCAACTGAAAATTTTTTAGTTGACTTGGCAGGCCTGAGACCAGTGGTCTGACCATCTATTGGGAGGACAGTAGTATGCAACATATAGTGATATAGTGATATAGGGGATATCCTTTTATCATTTTTGAAATACAATATTGTTCTCATTGTTTTGTTTTAAAAATAGAATACAATCTAATAGATAAACATGTTTCTCTGGATATGCAGATATTTACCACTGTTAGCTTTGGTTTTCCGGTGTGAAAATTCAATCTAAATAAATCTACTTGAATGTATATCTCATGTAGGGTATTCTTTCAAAGTGCAAAATTTTCACTATTCTGCCATCTGGTTATTAGAGTAGTACAGTGAGGAACAGGTGTTTTGAAGGGAGAAATAGGTAGGGTAGAAAGATTTCTATTCTGGTTCCTTGTTGAGCTACTAACTAGTAGGATCTGGGCAACCAAAGTCATCTCTATGGGTTTTGGCTTTTTCATCTGATAAATTAGGAAGTTGAATTAAATGGTTTCTAGGTATTAAGTAGTGACTAAATCTCTAGCTATAAATCCAATCTGTATACTAGGACAGTAATCGCCCCCACTAAGGACAAGTTTTGGTATTATTCTATAATTCCTGAACTGAATTTTTTTAAAATTTTATTTTAAAGAGGAAAAAAACCCTTGAAATTTCAAAATAATATAAGAGTAACAATGGTTACTACATTGTGTATTGTTACCTCTAAATGAGGTAATCAGAGTACAAGATACAGTACAAGATACATTTAATTATTCAAACAATATTAGCACAAATCTTTCTTTATAATGAATTAAGAGAAAGTAGTACAACTGTCTTAACAATCTTGTATTAAAAAATATATATATATGTATTTGCATTTTTCTTCTCTCTTTTCTTTTTTTTCTTATCCTAGTTTTTCTTTCTTTTTGAAGAGTTTCTTCCCATTTCACAATATCCATTGTACATTTTGGATCTTATTTACTCTTTCACCTCACGTAAGTTTCCAGTTTATCCTTCTTTATAGCTGAGTAGTACTCCACTGTATAAAAAGACTGTGCCTTTTTTATTCATTCCTCAGTTGACCGGCATTAGGGTTATTTCCAAGATTTTACTATTACAAACTGTGCTGCTGTAAAGATGGATGCAAATATATTGCTGTGGTTTCATGTTTTAAATTTTTTCTCAGACAAGAATAGCTGAGTCAAATGGGACCTCTAATCCTAATTTTGTGAGGACTTTCCACACTGATTTCCATAGTGATTGCATCAGTCTACATTCCTACCAACAGTGTATTAAACTTAAATTTAAAATATTTATTCTTAATTCTAAGATTTTATTAATCACACTCCTAAAAGTATTAAACAATTGAGTTTAACTGCCAGAAAAACACAGCATATACCAAACCCCAAACTTCTGTTCTCAATGCCTTACTTACAAGAGGATCCTGCAGGCTTCACTGTTTATCCCGCCCATAGAATCATAATAGGTAATGTTCTTCTTTCTAAAGTCTACCACCTGAGGGTAAGAAAAAAAATTGTGTTTATAAAGCGAAGAAAACTGGTTTCTCAGTTTCTCTTTTCTTTGGCCCTTGAATCCTTCTGGACAGCTTCCTGTGAAATCACAAGAAGTCTGATACTTTGTATTTTACATGCTTAATGTGCAGAGGAAAAAAGAAGGGAGTGATTTATATGGAACTTGTTCAATTTCTTCCTCCCCATAATAGGCTACAGTAAAGAAACAGCACATAAGTATCTTAAGACCATTTCCACCAAATTTTGGAAAAATAGTGAAAAGATTCTGGGTTTTTTTTTTTTTTAACCTTTAGAATTTCTTTCTGATTTTTAAATGCAGCTTAAAATTAACTGTGTTTTAACTTTTATTAACCTAGTAAGCTAATGCATTCATGTGGTCAGTCATAGGAAATCTGAATTACACATGCAATGTAAACTCTGATTAGGCAGAAAAGAGCCACAGAATCTGAGCTGGCATCTTCACTTGGAAGTTACTTTTTCTCCCATGCCTTACCTTGAGGCTGCTTTAATACCCTAGAACTCCTTTTTAAATATTTCCAGAAAAGGAAATTTCATAGCTTTCTTTAAAGTCTAAGTACTTCCTACTCTAGACAGAAAGTTTAATGATATGATTTTTTAGCTGACATACTTCCTAATATTATTCTTTCTTTTAATAATCAACGGAAGATGCAGACAATGTAGGACTAATCACTTCTTTGCCTTTTGGCTAAGATCAAGTGTAGAAGATTTAGAAATACTATTTACAACCCTGTGTGTTCTACAATTATGTAGATTTCTTTAAATCTTTTTTATCTAAAATAAAGGAAGTACTCACAGCTAGACACCAGTGCACTCCTAAGTGGATGGGTACCAAAAGAATGTCAACAGAAAATACATCCACTTTCTTTGTCCAACGCTTCACTGCTTGGTAACCAGCTGTTTTTAACTTAGTGAAGAAGAAAGTATTAAATGCATGCACACTTGGTAATCCTTTTTCTTTACTTCTCTCCATTAGCATATTCATGTAGAAATTGATGATCTGTGAGAAGAAATTACACATTAGAATAGACATTCAAAAATAATTGTGTTATATAAACATAACTACTGAATCTGGGTATAGGCATGATAGTGTAAGCCTATAATCCCAGCAATTCAGTAGACTGAGGCAGGAGAATCTCCACTACTCTGAGGCCAGCCTGGGCTTTGTAGTGAGTTCAAGACCAGCCTGGACTACATAGTGAGATCCTGTAGAAAAAAAAAGAAAAGAAAAGAAACAGCAGTTGCAGTGCTGAACAGAATATGCTATTTTTTCCTAATCAACTCAGTTAAGGCTTCAACACCTAACAGCCTCATCACATAAACAAGCAAGGTCAAAATCGTACGATCATACCCAGAAATCTTAAGATCATATGCAGGAAAATCCAACATCTCTTCAAGATAAAAACCTTCAAGAAAACAGACAGAAGGACCATACCTGAATGTGATAAAGACTATGACAAATCAATAGCCGCATCACACTAAATGGAAAAAACTGAAAGTATTCCCCATAAAATCGGGAACATAACAAGAATGTCTACTATCATCTCTTCTGTTCAACACGGTATTTGAAACATAAGCCAGATAAAGTAGACAAGGGAAAAAAATAAAAGGCATACATAAAGGAAAGGAAGAATTCAAATTATTTGCAAATGATATGATACTGTACATAGAAGACCCAAAGAATGGTCTCAATTCTTAACAAACTCAATTCATAACAAACTTTAGCAATGCAGCAGTATACAAGATCAATACACAAAAATCATTAGCATTTGTATATAGCAATAATGAACAGGATGAGAAAGAAATTATGAAAACAATACTATTTCTAGTAGCTTCAAAACATAAAATACCTAAGAATTAACATAACCAAGGAAGTGAAAGACTTTCTACAAAGAAAACTACAGTACTCTGAAAAAGAATATAGAAGAGAGTATTAGAAAATGTAAAGATGTCCCCTGCTTCTGGATAGGAAGAATCAATAGTCAAAATGACCATATTTGCAAAATTATTATACAGATTCAATGCAGATCCAATTAAAATACCAACAGTATACTTTATAAAGATCCAGAAAAAAATCCTAAAATTCATATGAAATCAGAAGAAACTCAGGCTGGCAAAAGCAATTTTGGGCAATAAGAGCAAACAAGAGGCAAAGTAATACCTGACTTCAGGCTATGCTACAAAGCAATGGTGATAAAAATGGCAAAGCAGTGGAGCAAAAACAGATACACAGATGAATGGAACGGAACGGAGGGCACAGAAACTTCCCCAGACACATCAGCTATTGAATTTTTGACAAAGGGGCCAAAAGCTGTTTTTGGAGGAAAGATTGCCTAGTCAACAAGTGGTGCTAGGAAAACTTATTATCTGTGTGCAGCAGATTGAAATTGAACCCTTATTTCTTACCACATACTAAATTAAAATCAAAATGCATCAAAGATCTAAACATTAAAACAGAAAATACATAAAACATTTGAAGATATAAGCATAGAAAGGATTTTCTAAACAGAACCTCAACTGCACATGAAAACAACAGCAAAAATTAACAAGTGGGACCATATTAGACTAAAAAGTTTCTGTAAGAACAAAAGAATCAATTAGTAGAGTGAAGAAATAGCCTACAGAGTGGGAGAAAGTTTTGCTAGCTGCTCCTCAGACAGAGGACTAATATCTACAATATACAAAGAACTCAAAAAATAAAATTAAGTCACTTAAAATTAAACATCCAGTCAAGAAATGAGCAAGAGAAATGAACTGAGACATCACAGAGGAAGAAATACAAATGGTTAACAAATACATGAAAAAATGCTCAAATCGCTGGCTATCTGAGAAACACAAATAAAAATAATACTAAGATTCCATTTCACTCTAGAAAGAATGGCAACCATTAAGAAATCAAACAAAAACAAAGGCTGGAAGGCTATGGTGAAAAAGGAACTCTTCTTCATTGCCGGTGGGAATGTCATCTAGTACAACCATTATGGAAATCAGTATGGAGATTTCTCAGAGAACTAGAATTAGAAATTCCATATGACCCAGTGATTCTTCTACTAGGTATCTTTCCCAAAGAACTTAAGGAATCCTATTTTAGAAATACATGCACATCAATATTCATAGCAGCACAACTCATAACAGTAAATCCTATAAGCAGGCTGTATGTCCATCAACAGATGACTAGATAAAAAAAATGTGGTATCTATGTATAATAGATACTAATATGCTATTAAAAATGACAAATTTTAGACATTTGTAGGAAAATGGATGCACCTAGAAAATACAACATTGAGTGAAATAAACCAGACATACAAGCTGACATACTGTAACAGTATCTCTCATTTAGGAGAGGCAAAATACAAACAGAGAATAAAAGAGGATTGCAACAGGGAAGTGGTCTCAGGGAAAAAGTACAAAGAATGAGGAGGAGGGGAGAAGGAAAGAAGCAGAATAAAGATATGCCATGTACAGGAACCTAATAACTTCAATTAATGTAAACATTATATGCTACAACATAAGCTAAGATTAGTATTAACAAGAACAGAAAATGAGATGGGAGAATTGGAGGAGGGAGAGAGGAAGGGGGAGGGAAGGAAAAGGAAAAAAAAAAGAACTTGAGGTATATATAAATAACCACTCCCCAAAATGACTATATACTACGAATTCCAAACATGCACTAATAAAAAAATCATGTCACCAAAAGAGACAAAAATAACGAAAAAGCAGTTGTGTTGAATAGCACATACTACAATTTCCTGATCAACTCAACGGACTTGAACACATACCAGCTTCATGTCTCCATACTAATGTGCAACTAGAAAGAAAGAGTTGAGGCAGTTATAAATAATAAAAAGAAAAGCTGTCAGATACACAGCTGGAATAAACAAATGGGAAGATATTGACCAGATTTGTGGAACAACAGACTATAGAATGAGGAGAAAGGGGCATCAGAAGGTGAGGCCCAGAAAAAATGAAAGAAATGAATATGAGAAGTTTAATAAAGCATATAGCATTTACTTTACTATATTGGGAGAACTCTGTGAATAGATTTCAAGCTTAGTTAAGAGTCTAGTGTTAAGCTAAGAACAATAGTTCGAACTTTACATGATAGTTACTTTTGTCTTGCACAAAGATAGAAAATTCTGTTCCACATGGTTAAATTTGCCTTTTTAACCTCATAAGCCATAATATAGAGGCAAACTGTTTTGGTTCAAGTATGAGTAAGTAACAGGACAAGCCATCAACCATACTGGAAAAACACCTACAACAATGTAACTCTGTAAGAGGCAAACATGGACACACAGTCATATAAAAATCTAGATTATATGAGACCTAAAGTCACAAACAATGAAGGATAATATTGTCCCACAGGATCTGTGAGCTTAGCTTTCTCATCTTTACTTATTTCATTTACTCTTCAATAACAAGTGTGAGTGAAAGAAATTAAAATGCTCGATACAGGAGATACGTAAATTTTTCAGTTAACGAAACAATGTCTTCTCTATAGTGGCGATGTTGTCTATGATTCTTTTAGGTCCAGGACTCCCTCGTACTAAAGCTTGAAAGTTACTGTGCCAGAAGTTATACTGCATACTTACTTTATGTGGGCACAAAGCTAGTATCTGTCAACTGCAAGGAATGAATGGGCTAACTGAGCCACAGCTTGGAAATATGACTAAGAAAACAGGCACATTTTTCAGAACGCTTTTTGAGGAATGGGAAAATGCCCCCATCCTTTGACAAATATTTACACACCAGGATGCCAGAGCAGTGAGCTACTGCCCAACAGTAGGCAACTACATACTGGGTAGGTAGCAGGGAACACTGCCAGGAACACACCAGAGTATGGTCGAGACTAGAGAAAGGGCCTATAGATGAGGATGCCTGAGCAGTCACAGGGAAACTATACTCACCATAAGGCAAAGCTCTGACATACGACAGGCTAGGTCTGAAGAAAGACACTGTTCTGCCTACAGCTCTGACAACTGAGACAAGAGGCCCAATTAGGTCCAGAGGACTCAGGCTATGGCTAATTCTGTACCACAGTACAGAATTACTGGAGTGTTTTGAATTACTGGAGGAATTGAATTAACTGTTGGGTTTCACATTACTGTGTGAAACCCAACAGTTAATGGAGCTTAGTTGTCTTAAGTAATGATAATAAATCAAAGCACAATTAGAATGATGGATTCTCAAATCTAAGTGTTCAGTTAACTCTGCCTGAGGTTATTATAATGGTGCTAGTTGATGCCTGTAGGTTTATGAAGACGGTTACTAATACTGGGAATGATCTGACCAGCAAGCACAGATTTCTAATTATATTCTCTAGAATGTAGAGAGAAATTAGCCAGAAGAGACTAATAAATTTCTTCTGGCATTCTACCTGTCCCAGTGTTAAGTTACAAGGCTAAACCCTACAAATTAATGGATAAAATGAATAAGCACATGACCTGCTGGTCACTGCAGGTCAATCTTCCATGGGGCAGTCAGATCATATATATTATCAGCAATAAGATAAAGGGAAATGTGAAAGAAATCAGATAAAGAAATAAGGACAAACACATGAGTGCCATGGAGATATACCTTCTTCAGATACCTATCAGAGGTACTATAGTTTGGACATTAGTTTAAATAAAACAAACAAAAGAGAACAAGACATAAACAAGTATCATGCTACCTAACACAATTGAACAAGAACAGAGAACTAGTGATCACTGTATGTCTCCTTAGAAAATTCCTCTATTGCTTTTGCCCTGCCTCCAACCAAGGTTTCTCCACTGAGAGGGAAACAGCTTCCTCCAAAGTCAACTAGTTAATTAGCTCTAAGGAATGATCTGAGTTCTTTTTCATTTCCCTAATATCCCAGTAGGTGGGAGTCTGGTGGCCTTAGTGCTTCTTCCCTTTAACTAAGAATGTGTAATCTGACATCTGAGCCAGATGTAAACTGTTTACATCCAAATTTCTCTTCAGTTTTTCAGCTGTTACTCTGTCCAAATGAGAAAAATT